GTTAAGAGGTGACATGATAGCCATGTTTAAATATTTGAAAGGATGTCACATGGAAGAAGGAGAAAGCTTGTTTTCTGCTGCTCCAGAGACTAGGTCACAGAGCAATAGATTCAAACTACAGGAAAAAGACACTCCACCTCAACATTAGGAAGAACGTCCTGATGGTAAAAGCTGCTTGACAATTGAATACACTGTCTTGGAGTGTGGTGAAGTCTCCTTCTTTAGTGGTTTTTAAACAGAGGCTGGATGGCCATTTGTTGGGAGTGCTTTGATTATGTAGTCCTGCATGGCAGGGGGCTGGAATGGATGGTCCTTGTGGTCTCTTTCAATTCTGTGGTTCTGTAAAAATGGTATACCATAATGGCAGCAACAAATAAATTAATTGTAATTTTGTAATTTGTAAATTACAGTTTGTAATTTTGTAATTTGTAAATTACAGTTTGTAAATTTGTAAATCTTGTAATTTAAGTGCACACTGCATACGTGTCATTATGACAATTAAATAAATTAAATGAATTACTGTTTATTATTTTAATACAATTTTTTTTATTTATAATACTTTTAACGCTAGTTGGCAATATACAAACATGAAAGATAAAACTGATTCTGCCCACAGGTTTTGGATCTAATTGAAGACATATTATGATGGGAAGGAAAGGGAAGGAAATCGCTTAGGGAAATCCAAGGCGAAAAGCTATATCTTAAGGAAGTGCTTGAATGCAGTAACAGAGGAAGAAGACTGGATGTCTGGGCAAAGAGAGTCCTAGTGTGAAGCAGCTGCAACGGAAGAGGGATGCAAACAGGGACAAAACCTCCCTAATTTTAGATTTGCTTACTAAAAATACAATGCTTTCCCCCCAAAATAGTTCAGAATGGATTATAAAAATGAAAGAATACACTCTCAAAATTAGGAAATGGCACAAATAAAGCCATAAAACACAATACTACTAGTCAGTGGGCCAAGGGGGAGAGGGAGGGAGAGATGACAGCCCAAATGAACCAAATGCTGACTGAAAACAGAGCCCCGTCTAGCTGCAAGAAATACCTAAAAGTGTGACAGAAGCTATTACAGTTAGCCCTGTTTCTTCCAGGAAGAAGAGTCACAGACTATGTTCATATCAGGATCCTGGGTTATGAAATGTTTTAAGGGCTAAAACCACTATTTTTAACTGGTAAAAACAAAATCTACTAGTCAATTTCTTTTGTGGTGTGGCAATGATGGGAGTCACCATCCAACATGTTTGAAGGTGGTTGTTTGGAGAAACCTGTTCTATTCACTTTCTTGTTATAAGCTGGAATTCTTTTTGGTGATATACACTTGGATA